AGAAATTTGTTTAAAATTGTTTAAAAACTGTTCGAGAGATTACATATCATCAGAAGGTGTTAATCTTTTTCAAAAATTGCTCCAGAGATAAAAAAGTTAGAAATTGTTAAAATTTTGCTAAAAAATTTCACAAGACATCAAATATTGTTCCAAAATAGCTTGAAAGGTAAAAAAAGGCTTTTTAAAATTGCTCGAGTGATTTAATAGTGTTAAAAATTTTACAAAAAATTTTGTGCAAACATTGCTCGCGAGATAAAAAAAAGTTGTTAAAAATTGCTCGAGAGATAGAATAATGTTAGAAATTTGTTTAAAATTGTTTAAAAACTGTTCGAGAGATTAAATATCATTTTCAAAAATTGCTCCAGAGATAAAAAAATGTTAGAAATTGTTAAAATTTTGCTCAAAAATTGAACGAGAGATCAAATATTGTTTAAAAATAGCTTGAAAGGTAAAAAAAGGCTGTTAAAAATTGCTCGAGTGATTAAATAGTGTTAAAAATTGTACGAACATTGCTCGAGGGATAAAAAAAGTTCTTAAAAATTGCTCGAGAGCTAGAATACTGTTAGAAATTTATCGAGACATAAAATATTTTTTAAAAATAGTTCAAGAGATAAAAAAGGTTTTTTAAAAACTGTTCGAGAGATAAAATATCAAAAGGTGTTAAAATCGTTTTTAAAAATTGTTCGAGAGATGAAATAGTGTTAGAAATTGTTAAAATTTTGCTCAAAAATTGAACGAGAGATCAAATTAATATTGTTTAAAAATAGCTTGAAAGGTAAAAAAGACTTAAAAATTTGCTCTAATGATTAAATAGTGTTAAAAATTGTAAAAAAAACATATTGTACAAACATTACGCGAGGGATAAAAAAAGTTGTTAAAAATTGCTCGAGAGATAGAAGACTGTTAGAAATTTATCGAGAGATAAAATATTTTTTAAAAATAGTTCAAGAGATAAAAAAGGTTTTTTAAAAACTGTTCGAGAGATAAAATATCAAAAGGTGTTAAAATCGTTTTTATAAATTGTTCGAGAGATGAAATAGTGTTAGAAATTGTTAAAATTTTGCTCAAAAATTGAACGAGAGATCAAATTAATATTGTTTAAAAATAGCTTGAAAGGTAAAAAAGACTTAAAAATTTGCTCTAATGATTAAATAGTGTTAAAAATTGTACAAAAACATATTGTACAAACAATACGCGAGGGATAAAAAAAGTTGTTAAAAATTGCTCGAGAGATAGAAGACTGTTAGAAATTTATCGAGATATAAAATATTTTTTAAAAATAGTTCAAGAGATAAAAAAGGTTTTTTAAAAACTGTTCGAGAGATAAAATATCAAAAGGTATTAAAATCGTTTTTAAAAATTGCTCGAGAGATGAAATAGTGTTAGAAATTGTTAAAATTTTGCTCAAAAATTGAACGAGAGATCAAATTAATATTGTTTAAAAATAGCTTGAAAGGTAAAAAAGACTTAAAAATTTGCTCTAATGATTAAATAGTGTTAAAAATTGTACAAAAACATATTGTACAAACATTACGCAAGGGATAAAAAAAGTTGTTAAAAATTGCTTGAGAGATAGAAGACTGTTAGAAATTTATCGAGAGATAAAATATGTTTTAAAAATAGTTCAAGAGATAAAAAAGGTTTTTTAAAAACTGTTCGAGAGATAAAATATCAAAAGGTGTTAAAATCGTTTTTAAAAATTGTTCGAGAGATGAAATAGTGTTAGAAATTGTTAAAATTTTGCTCAAAAATTGAACGAGAGATCAAATTAATATTGTTTAAAAATAGCTTGAAAGGTAAAAAAGACTTAAAAATTGCTCAAATGATTAAATAGTGTTAAAAATTGTACAAAAACATATTGTACAAACATTGCTCGAGGGATAAAAAAAAGTTCTTAAAAATTGCTCGAGAGCTAGAATACTGTTGGAAATTTATCGAGAGAAAATATTTTTTAAAAATAGCTCAAGAGATAAAAAAAGGTTTTTTAAAAACTGTTCGAGAGATAAAATATCAAAAGGTATTAAAATCGTTTTTAAAAATTGATCGGGAGATGAAATAGTGTTAGAAATTGTTAAAATTTTGCTCAAAAATTGCACGAGAATTCAAATATTGTTCAAAAATAGCTTGAAAGATAAAAAACTGTTAAAAATCGCTCGAGTGATTAAATAGTGTTAAAAATTTTGTACAAACATTGCTCGAGGGATAAAAAAAAGTTGTTAAAAATTGCTCGAGAGATAGAATACTATTAGAAATTTATCGAGAGATAAAGTATTGTTTCAAAATAGATCAAGAGATAAAAAAAATTAAAAACTGTTCGAGAGATAAAAGAGTATCAAAAGGTATTAAAATCTTATTCAAAAACTGCTGGAGAGATAAAATAGTGTCAGAAATTTGTCGAGAGATAAAATATTGTTTAAAATTGTTGTGTTTGTGTTCTCTATAAACATTTTTTTGCTCTTTAATGACCAAACTTCATAATTAGAAAAATCTGGCAATTTTATAGAATCTAGTACATTTTTTTGAAATCTGGTACATTTTTTAGATAAATCTGGTACATTATAAAAATATATTCTGGCAACACTGTATAGGGGTCTATTCTGTAACAATTCCTTTATATTTAACGGCCTTTAAAAATATTTTCTTCTGTCTTTATTTAAACGGATCTTTAAAATACATTAGTGGACTATCCTAAAGAAATCTGTTTAAATAATGACAGAAGTAAATTAACGAATACGAACATATTTTTAAAGGCCGTTAAATATAAAGGAATTGTTACAGAATAGACCCCATGTGTTAACAAAAACAATATCGTAAATAAAGCTATGCATAATCGGATACTATACTACCAAACATTATTAAACCAAAACATATTTATGTAATAATGGGTAAGATAAGGAGAATAGCGACATTTTAGAAGAGGCATAAATATTGCAAAAGATATCGATTGGGACACTTCATTTTCTCCGGTTTGTTAGAACCCGGACAAAAAAAACGTTTATTTGACTACGAATGTAAAGATGAGACTCCAAAAAATGCAGAATACCAACTGAAAATTAATTTTTACTTTGTAATATTGAAACACTGCATTGTCAAATCTAAGTAATTTCCTTAAAACAGACGAGTCAAGTAGGTCTACAAAATGTAAATCGGTCGAAAATATGTTACATGATACATTTAAAAATGAAAAAGATATTATAGCAGCAGATTTATGTGATAATATCGACAACGTTGCACCCTATATTTCCCCTAAAATGGACGCTTTAATGTACTTTAATACTTATTTACAAATAAACTCATCTATTTATTTCAAGATTTGGTAATTGCCATACGAATTTTTTTTAACATTACCTATAACTGTGTCTAGCGGGAAAGAAGTGTTTCAAAACTTAAAATAAAAAATTATTGAAGATCAACAATGTTTTATTTAATTTAAATATTTAAAATTAATTCTGATGCCTTGGTAGGATTCCCCACTTGACTATTCACTGTTAGGTTCTAATTACAAGTGCTGTTCCTAAAGTGGCGCTGGGAAACAGTAACATAGCCTACACAGAACACGCGGCGAAATAACCAGTATTTGAAGCCGATGACACAAAAAAAGATCAACAATGGCACAGGAAAGGCTTTCAGACTTGTCTATTATTAGTATTGAAAAGGGCATTTCAAAAGATTTAGATGTATCGGATATTTTAACAAAATTTGCATTAAAAATGGAAAGGCAAAGTTTATCTAGGCTTTTTGACTAACTTATTAAGTATTATTAATAGATATTTTTGTGTATGTATGTATTTATTGGGTAATTATATTAATAAATTAATAATTTATTAGTGTGTTGGGTTGTAAAACCAAGAAATAAACCAAATTTCTTATAATTTCTGTAATTTTTTGTTTTATTTAAGGTAAACATATTTCTAATCCATATGGCATGAAAAGGGGGAGAATTTTTCACTCACACAGGCGGCAGCTACCCTAGGAACGGCCCTATGCACAATGTTGACATGTAAAAACAACTAAATACCTGTACATACTATGTTCTCTAATAAACCAAGGGACAGAAACTTCATATATGTATCACTTTGAAACTGAAATTAAAAATGTAACAAGAATCAGATAAGACCATTCAACTAGTGCAAAAATACAATAATTAACCTGTAAAATTAGCTGCGTATTGTGAAAAGAATACACAAATATTCCCTTCTGATTATAATATAGGGCAAAACTATCTACTCTGATATCTAAGCAATAAAAGCAATTCATTCACCAGAAATCAAATCAAGATTGTCTAGAAGACCTGATAGAGTTGCTAAGAGATTGTGCAAGACATACATCAAACAATGGATGCAAGAAGAGTCTTGTGGAACAACTATCCAGGATTGAAACAGGCCAAACAGTTCATTAAGGAACCATCGGCCAAGCTCACGAAAGACCTACTGGATCAAAAAACGACAAATCGGACACTGTCGCCTAAGAAGGGACATGAGAGCCAATACAATATGTCCAAAATAAAACAAACTTCAATTTATGTTATCATATGTCAGATAGGACAAATAAAATTGATATAAAGAGTAGTTAATTTAGGACCTACAGCTTTGGAACCATGATAGATAAAATGTGAACAAACACAATGAGCTAAAAAAACTGCTAATTTTGCAGATAGAACCTGTCTTTCTAGGATAGCAGTATAGCTCATTAGTCGTTTACATTGTACATCAATGTTAAAAAGTCATTTTTAAATTTAAATGATTTACAAATTATCATTATAAAGGTACATTTATTGTTCTTTTTTTTTGTAAATTAATGTATACATTCAAATGTATGAAAGTGAACTGAAAAATAAAACAAATTTGTTTACTATAATATTGAATAACTGTTGATAAATTCATTTATATGTATTTTAAAAATATATGAAACTCATGTCATTTGAAAGTACATTTTGTATGTTCAAAATTTATGTGTTCTATAAATTTTATTATAATATATGCTAAAAGATAGTTAAGTACCTCTGCCTTGAAATAAGCCAATCTCTTAATTTTGCACTGGTCCAATATCCTCCAACCTTCAATAGATGTGCTTTATCAATAATTTCTAATTGTCTTTGTTTAGTTTTTCCGTGGCCTAAACTCTCAACATTATGATAATGGATATCATATTTTGTAGCAAAATCTGCAGCATTTTGACAAACACCAGGAATACCTAGAAATTTAAATAATTAGTACATACTACAATTCAACTAATATAAAAATTAAATAATTATTTAGATGTTAGATGTAGATTACAATAAAATATGTTTTTATTTTGATTTTAAAAATGCTTTTTTACCTAAATATGAGTCTGTTGAATCAAAAAACTCAATTTCATTTGTCATAAAAACAGGTATAACATCTAAATTAAATGGATTCACAACACAAGTTCTTAACTTTACAGTTTCTTGAGTATCTCCTTGATTTTCTTTTTTAGCTAAAATATTATCACTAGATACAGCTACAAATTTCACATGCTCTATAAACTCCGGAGCATTAGTCCAAAAGGTCAGAAATTCAGAATCACTGTCTTTAATCTTAAAGTCAAAATTAACACCATTACACTCTCCTATCCAGTGTCTTTGTATTTTTTTAATGTCACGCCAATCCTGAAGCAATGGATCATTTAAACCATTTAGAAGACTTTTAGCAAATTTTGTAGTTCTTATGTACCATTGTTTCAGTAGTATTTTCTCTACTTTAACTCCAGATCGCCAAGAATTTCCATTTTCATCAACTTGCTCATCTGCTAGTACTGTTTGATCTACTGGATCCCAATTAACTAGGGCTTCTTTTTGGTAAGCTAATCTACAATATAGTAAGAATCAGCTTAAAGTTCATAAAATCTATTGGTTATTGATCAGAAAACGAAATAATGAAAACTATTTTTGAACCCCCAAAATGAAAACAAATGTATAGAAAAAATTTCTGTAACTGGAAGAGAATACTAGAATTGGTAATCTATAATATTTAAATATTATAAAAATTGATGATTATCATTTTACCCCAGCCCAGAAGTAAATAGAAGATTTTATAATCTACAATATTTCAATGATATAAAAATTATTATCATTTTCATATTTTTTTTTTATATTACTGTTTTACCCTTGTTGATATAACTTCAAAAACAATTCTTGTGTCCATTTGTAATATTCAGGATCACAGGTTTTAAATTCTCTCTCCCATTCAAAACTGCAACCTAATTTCTGGAGTTGGCTCTTCATATGTGTTATATTTTGTTTGGTCCATTCACCTGGAGCTGTCTTACGATCTATAGCTGCATTTTCAGCTGGTAAACCAAATGCATCCCAACCTATAGGATGAAGAACCTATAATTAAGAATAGTAATTATATTAGAAATGTTTTTCATATTAACATTAATTAAATGAACCTTACATTTTTACCATTCATTCTCTGATATCTAGCAACTGTATCACTAATTGTGTAAACACGGACATGTCCCATGTGAAGTGACCCAGATGGATATGGGAACATTGGCAGTACATAATACTTTTCTTTAGTGATATCATCTTCTTTGAACTTATTAAATTTCAACTTTTCTTTCCAGTGTCTCTCTATTTTATGTTTAATTTCAGATGAAATATCTTCATCCTAAAATGTAAGTAACTGTAAAAAATATATTATTATTATCCATTCTTTGTACCCATAAGTTTAGGCCCGATAAAAAGCGGCATAAATAAAATTGTTTTCTTAAACGATATCCTTTTATAAATGTGCAATTTTTAAAAATAATCATTTTAAAATTTGTGTAATTTTAAAAATTAATATCTAACCTACAAACTATTGACGTCTTGAGTCTTGACACTTCAAATCAGTGTTGCCAGAATATATTTTTGTTATGTACCAGATTTGTCTAAGAAATGTACCAGGTGTGGCTAAGAAATGTACCAGATTACATAAAAACGTACCGTATTCTATAAATTGTATTGTACCATTATAGAATTGTGATGGTTTGGTTCATTAAAGAGCACATTTTGTAAAAAAAATTGTAAAAAAATTATTTCAAAAAAAATTTTCACAAAAAAATTGTCATAAAAATTGTAAAAAAAAATTTTGTCTATGCTCGCAAAGCGCATTAGCATATCGGTGTAGGAAGATTTTAACCATCCGAAAAACGTTCCTATGGAAGCTTTTACCGAAAAAATTTTGTCCAAAAAACATTGCAAAAAAAATTTGTCCAAAAAAATATTTACTAAAAAATTGTCAAAAAAATTTTTTAACCAAAAACAAACAAGAAAGGCAATATATTTTACCCGTCAAATGAAAAGAGGCTAAAAAAAGAAAAAGTACTAGATTTTGCTTCGAGTGTACTAGAGTATTAGATTCTTAAATAATGTACTAGATCTAGTACAATTGTACTAGGATGGCAACACTGCTTCAAATCTTCTTTTTTTGTGTGGAAAGGTAATTTACCGATTTGATCTAGGAGTCAACTCCTCTGCCGTCAACGGCGTCAACTGTATTTTTATTATATTTTAGGTCTTTCCTTTGCATCGAAAGTGTGCACTGAGCTATGCTACTTCTGAAAATATCGTTCCATTTATACAAATTGCATTGATGGAATGATATTTTCAGAAGTGGCATAGCTCTTTCGATGCAAAGGAAAAGACCTAATAGGATTGTTGGCCTGCTTACTTAACAAGTCAAAGATACGAATAGTGAGTGCCTAACCTCTTACCTATGTGCCTAACTTTGCAGTTGTTGTGGCAGTTGTGGCTATTCAACATAACCAAGAACATAAATATTTATTTCTATAAAAATAATACAAAAACAAAAAATGAGTTATAATGGTACCCCCCCGACAAAAATTAGAAAAATACAAGGTATGTATTTTATTTAGTTTCAAATAAATCTGGCTCTCATTGTTTATTCTTTTTTTAGAAAAACCCCCAGCCAATCCAGTTAAGGTTGAAGGATTACAGACATTTTCAAGTAAGTACACTTAATATTGTTGACGGTCCTTTCCATATTATCAAAAATTGTTTTTAGGTTCTACAAGGTTGTGTCCATACCTAGATACAATTAATAGACAATACTTAGATTTCGATTTTGAGAAATTATGTTCAGTATCATTAACTAGAATCAATGTATATGCTTGTCTCGTTTGTGGAAAATATTTCCAAGGAAGAGGTACTAACACACATGCATATACTCACTCGGTAGCAGAAGGTCATCATGTTTTCCTTAATTTGCAGACTCTTAAATTTTACTGTTTGCCAGATAACTACGAAATCATAGGTAAGGTTTACAGAAAATAATTGTAGTTTATATGACTCAACACGTTGTAGATATTATTTGTTTCCTGCTTGGCCTAATGCTAACTCTCTAGTTTTCACTTGAACATTAGCAAAGTGTATTGGACACCTTTCGGTAACCGACACTGTTTAAATTAAACTATTGACATTAACAAATGTATTCATTTTTAACATATTTATTTTCAATTAAAGTGAAATAAGTAATTGTTTTAGATTCGTCTTTAGATGACATAAAGTATGTGTTAAATCCAACATTTTCTGAATATCACATCAAAAATTTGGATTCCTCTACAAAACTTTCAAGAGCAATAGATGGTTCACTTTATGTGCCTGGTATAGTGGGCTTAAATAACATCAAAGCTAATGATTATTGCAATGTAGTCTTACAAGTAAGTATATATCACATAAAAATGTATTAACTAGACAGATTGGTAGTGGCAAAAAATGTATGAGAGCATAGGAAGAAAATATTTAATTAATTACATTTTTTGTTTTTTAAATTTTAACTGTAGTTAAAAGAAATATGTAGTAGTTAGTCTTTTTCCCAGAGTGTCTATAATGCATTGGTATTTAATGTGTCAATTTTTATTCTAATTTGTGAGTTTAAACACACTTATTTAAAAGCCTCATTGTCCAATAATTCTATATCAAATCAATATACTATTAAGATAAGATTTTTTGCTATTTACAAAAACTTATTTAATTTAACACCTACTTATATTATTTTTTTTTATATTTTCTAAGGCTCTATCACATGTTACACCATTGAGAAACTATTTCTTAAGAGAAGAGAATTATAGTAATGTAAGAAGACCACCTGGTGACTCAGCTTACCTTCTTGTCCAAAGGTTTGGTGAACTTATGAGAAAATTATGGAATCCCAGAAACTTCAAAGCCCATGTGTCTCCTCATGAAATGTTACAGGCTGTAGTCTTATGGAGTAAAAAACAGTTTCAATTTACTCAACAAGGTAATCTTGTAATTTAGAAAGCAATTATTTCTAATTTAAGTTAGAGTTTATTATAACCTTTCAAAATTCTAAAAGTTAAATACTTACTACCCTAATATCCTCTAGAACAATTACCACCTTATTCATGAACAATCTTTAACCGTACCTGTAAGTTACATACCTACTATTAGGGTTGGGGAATATTTTACAGACTATTATATAATTATTTTAATCTTTCTAATATGACCTTTTTACATGGTTTTCTTTCGATTTCCTAAATGTTTTATAGAAAAATTTTAATCAATATTTGTCATTTATCTGAAAAACCACGCCATCGCCCAACTCTGCTTTTCTCTGAATTTAAAAGTGCTTTGTAAATAGTGATTATACCAAGGTTTCTGTAAATACGAGGCTGTTCTCTTTCTCTATCTAGTAGGCGATGATATTTTGCAACAAATTTTAGGTCTATTCCAACAATGATCACAAACCAGTCTCTGGTACCAGGATTCTGCAAAGTAGATAATTTGGCGATCCCAGTAATCTACTGCACAGAATCCTGGTGTCAGTGACTGTTTTCTGAGCGTTGTTGGAACAGACCTTTTGTCAGACATTTTAATCTAGTCTTTTTACAAGTGTAATTAAGGGGGACATTTGTTAAATATACCTGATTGTTTGCAAGTTACATAAGTTTAAAGTAATCCTTTTGCCAGTAAGTAATGGAAAACGAACAAAGAGCATTGTCGGGCTTAAACCGTAAAGAATGTTTTAAGGAAATCAATTGAGTGCTTGGCAAAAAATCATGTTCCATCGCTATCGTAAATCAGTGGTACAATGAATTTCAATATGGCCGACTTTCCTTAAGTGACAATTGTGGTTGATTTCTTTTAAAGTGGAGGTAGGAGAATACTTTTTTTGTTAATATAGGTAGGTACCATCTTTTACTTTACTAGGCTCAACGGAAAGAGAACAGCCCTCGTATTTTAAACATTTTGACTTGAATTTCTTATAAGGTTAATAAGACAAAATAGATTACTTTACTTGTTCAGTTAGGACATTTTTCCAGATAATTTCAGAGTGATATCACGAATTTTATTTTTAGGAGATCCAATAGATTTTTTGTCTTGGTTTCTAAATGCCCTTCACAAAGCTCTCAATGGTACAAAGAAAAAGGATAGTTCTATAATATATAAATCATTTTTGGGCAATATGAAAATTTATACAAGAAAAATACCTTCATTGGATCTTAATGAAAAAGAAAAAAAATCCCTTTTAGCTACCCCAGAATACCAGGAGGTTGAAACAGAGTCTCCGTTTTTGTATTTAACTTGTGACTTACCTCCCCCACCTTTGTTTATAGACGAATTTAGGGAGAACATTATTCCTCAAGTAAGACATATTTTTCTATTGCTTATTTATCTATTTTGTTGTTACCTTTCTTATACAGTGAGGACATACATTGTGCCCCCCCCCCTTTAAACATCTAAATGGAAGACAATATAAACAAAAATGAGGTGAAATTAGAGAGATATAATATTTGTGTTATAACAAGATGCACTTTACTTAAGATGTAGAAGGTGGTACTATCTTTACATTTTCTAATGGAAAATAGGGTCATGTGTTACCTCATTTGGAAGATATTTTCATTGTCTTTACGTCTATACAAACAGTTCTAGGTTTTTTATGTTTTTACAGAAATTACATTAAATAAATTAATGAAGTACGTTACATTCTTAATAACCCTTGCATTTGCTATTATTGTTTATTGCTAAAGAAACGCTTTCTTCAAATTAAAGAAACACAATATTTACTGAAATAAATACATTAAGAATATCAAAGTTGATCTAAAAACCACTTATGTCAGCAAATAGTGTGTTAAATAATGGTATAAATTATATTTTAAATTTCACCTTGTCTTTTTTGTTTCATGTCTCTCTCTTCTTCCATTTAGAAGTTAGAGGGGAGGAGCCCAATTTATGTCCTCACTGTATGTTCATTTCAACACTGTATTGGTATTTCTAGGTAAACTTATATCAGCTGATAGCAAAATTCAATGGACAAACAGAGAAAGAGTACAAAACTTATAAGGAAAATTTCATGAAGAGGTTTGAAATTACTAGGCTGCCACCTTATCTTATACTTTATATTAAGAGATTCACAAAAAATACCTTTTACGTGGAAAAAAATCCAACCATAGTGAATTTTCCAGTAAGGTAGGTTTTGAGAAAGATTTTAAAGGCTTTATAATCGTGTATGATTTGCTAGGGACCAGAAAATTGAATCCAATATGAAAACTACAGTTGGTACAGATCTTTGCACTTGATTGATAAATGTATATATTATGCATATTTTATTGAATATTAAATGAACGTGCTACTTTTAGCCAACTTGGGCCAATATCAGGCCTGAGACAGGACAAGTGAATATAAAAATAAAAAAATCTTTAATATGGAGGGTATAGGCCTGTAAGTAGAGACATACAAACTGAAAAATTTAACATTCATTCTAACATTTTTTAAACTTCGTGATAATCGAAACTAGCCAATTTTGCAACTCGATACAGGGTCGGCAACATTGTTAATATGACAGAAAACTAAATTAAAGGATTCCTAGACGATCAAATATGTAATATAGCTGCAAATTTGATTCCGACAAAGTAATGGCTGTTAATTAACATTATGTTAAGTTTATTTATTTATTTATCGATATTCGATCACTCAGACTCATTTAAACCGTATTTAAACACGACTTTTAGACTAAACTTATCTATTATCCTCAGACTCGGCTTGTCTGAACCAATCAAATCATTCGCAGCGCTCCTTGGTCGGTGGAGCGACACGTAAATTTAAATACAAATTGAGAGCTAACAATTATTTGATCTCACTTAGCAACCAGTATTGCGATTCATCAAAAATAATACAATAATAATATCTATATATTAGTAATTTTAAATATTTAAAATCCAAAAAATCCTCTACAGAATAGACATATATTTTTAAAAATTATTTAACTGATTATTGAATAAAATATTACCGTATTCTACAAATAATGGGCGACAAGAATCATATTTAGTAACTTTACCTATTATTCTTAAGATCTTCCTTTGAAGAATAAAAACGTCACTCGAATTAGTTGAGTTTTCACATAGACTAATCCCGTGTCTCAATCGATATGCTACTTAAGCATAATAAATACAGATTAAAATTTCATTGGCTAAAACTTGTCTTACATTTCTAAACAAGTAACACAATGAATATAATTTATTTTTCCAAAATTTACAATGAGATTTAATAAACACGTTAATACAACCAATTTAATTTATTTTAAAAAAATGAAGTAAATAAATTCAATTATATAACTACAGGGTGGCTCACGCTCAACGGGACGGAGCTTTATGGGAAAACGACCAAAGATATAAAAAATTCGCTTGGGAGGAATACGTAGGTTACAGACGGCTACAATTTAAAATTTGTTAGATGTATACAGGATGTCCCACATAAGAAAAAAAAATTTGTTCATAAAAAATTATTCAAACAAGAGTAAACAATTAATTTCTGGGAGACTTTTTTTCCTTAAAAATTCAAATAAATCGAAAACTAATAATAATAGTAATAGGGAACCTTTAGTTAACTGACATTATTTTTGATGTAGTTTTTAATTCTAAAATAAAAAACAGGGTGTTCCATTAAAAATAATATAACTTTGTATATTTTCTCTTATGTGGGACATCCTGTATACATCTAACAAATTTTAAATTGTAGCCGTCTGTAACCTACGTATTCCTCCCAAACGAATTTTTTATATCTTTGGTCGTTTTCCCATAAAGCTCCGTCCCGTTGAGCGTGAGCCACCCTGTATAAAACACAGGTACTCCGAAGTCGCCAAAGATCAAAACCAAACAAAAGAAATTATAGAATAACGAATATCCTTAAAATCACACCCAAAATTGCAAAAAACCAGTGCTGTAAAATCATGAGATTACATCAATAATGCGCAGGCATCCGAGTACTCTAGATGTCAAAAGTACAGTGTTTTCATGAAATTTTTGCTACATTTTCAGCAGCATTAGAGGAATATTTCTACCACTTCTATTTTAAATGTAGATACACGATAATAATTATTTTGTTATATGTGCATCATAATATGTATGGGGTGGGGAAAAATTTGCTCATCTTACACTGTTATGGTAGGCCACGAAAAATGAAAATTGACTACAGTGCATCCCCACTTTTGACAATATAGATTGTGGCGACTGTACATGATTATTAATTAATATTCAATAAATAAACAAAAAAATGTTTTACATTATTACACAATGCTATAATAAATAAGTAACAAAGAACTATATTAACAGAAAATCCATTTCTTACAAAATAATCAAATTACAGTAGTAAGTTTAAGTAGTGTACATAGAGAAATAATTTAAAAAATAGTACACAAACAAACCTTTCTTCTAATGTAATATTCTTTAAACATTCTAAATGAATTGAAAAATATATCATTGCAGGCTATTCAATTCACAAGATATGCATGTAAGTGGATTATGACGATCATAATTTGTTAAATGTCTATTTTCATATATAACAATGATCAATTCCTAGTTCTTGATACAAAATTAAAGTAAAATTAAGGCAAGCAGTTCCGAACAATTCATTAAACCATTTAACAACTTATGTAAGAATAGAAAATCCGCATCATGCCTTCGTTTTTCACGGGAGTAAATATTAGTAATTCCAGAAATTTGACGCTTGTATCTAGTCAGTTCGTTCCTAGATTGTATGCATAATGTCTGAAAAACCTCCTCTATACATCTAAAACACATACATTTCGTTAGCTTAACAACAAAACACACTAAGTCAGATTTGATGTAAAATCCATTAAGTATTAAGTACTTAATTTATTTTTCCTGAACAATATAATGCTATTATGGACTTAATGAATATGAAAATAATTTAAAAATACGGTCATAATAATTGTTAGAGGAAATAGTGGATTTGACCGGTTTATAAAGTGGAAGAAATCCAGTCAACTGATCTAAATGAGTCAAAAATAAAAAAATTGACTTTCTGTGTTTTGTTTGTAAACCAATGATTTGTCTAGGTATAACTTTTATGTGATAAGAATTTTTTTATATCTAAGACTCAATAAAGATTCATCCAAAAATGTATAAACATACAATTAACGCAGAGGATATAATAATTTAAAAACAATACAAGAATTAAATATAAAAAGCAATATAAAATAAATATAAAAGTATCAAAAATGGTAATTATAATTAAAAAAAAGAAGGTATAATATTGGTTAGTGTAGTGTCTATTTTCAAAGAAATATATGGAAATTCCATAGGAACCGAAGTTGTGCTTGGGCAACATATATTTAAATGACAACATGTATGTCACCAAATTGAATTATATTTTAGATCGTAAAAAAACAAATTTTTAGAGTAATTAGTTGTGAGTGTTGTGACTTTATATATAATTCGATCACAGTTTTACAAATTCGTACAAATATTGAATTTTTATTAACAAATTAACTTAAAATACTTTTTCTTAATAAAAAAATTAATTTTGTTGTAAAAAATAAGAACTAAACGTGATAAAAATCGAAAAAAATAGCTAAGTTTGAGCGACTATATCTCAGTCCGTTTTTATCTAAAAAACTTTTTTAACCCATCATTTTAAAGGAAATTTAATCTACATATCTCTGCTCAGAAAACGCAAAAAAGGAAAAACAAAAATAAAACACAAACTTGGATATATTGCTGCGAAATAATAAAATACTAAGAACCATGTCTTTTAAAGCATAGAAATGTTGTTTGCTTATATCCAAACGTGCACGATAACGAAAAGTTGTTTACAAGGTCCAATTATTTTTGTAATTGTTCTTTCAATTATATTGAAAATTACCCTTAGAATTAATAAAATATAATTTTTTTTTTTAGGAATGTGGACTTTTCCGAATTTTTAACTCCAGAAATTATAGCAAAACATAAAAACACCATTTATGATTTAGTAGCCAATATAGTACACGATGGTGAGCCGAATAAAGGTACCTACAGAGTACATATTTTACAGAAGTCCACTGGTCAATGGTATGAGATGCAAGATTTACACGTAACTGATATTTTACCGCAAATGATCACTTTAACTGAAGCTTATATACAAATTTATGAATTAAGGACTACCCAATAAATTTTTTATTAAGATCTATTTTATTGATGAAACAAAAAAAATTACCCCAAAAACTAAATAAAAATGGTGAAAAAAGGTTACAATTAAAAAGTTAAGAGACATCATCACTAGGACTGGGCAATTATTAAAATAAATAATCGATTATTTACGATTAATCAATTTTAAAATCAGCTAAAACTGACAAGAGTATTAAATAGGATTTGGGGATCAAAAAAGGTCTAGTTAATTTATGCTTGCACCCCTTATGTTTGGTCTTCTAGTAATGTAATTTATGCCTGCGCCCCCTTGTGTTGAATTGACGAGCATAAAAAAAGGTTGTCGTTGAAAACAAAAATGTATTATTCACTATGGATTTTTATTGAATAATCAAAAATAATCGAATAATCTAAAATAATCGAATGATCTAAAATAATCGAATGATCTAAAATAATCGAATAATCAAAAAAATGGATTATCGATAAACCTTTTCATGATGTTATTGTGTCAGAAGTTTAAAGGTCACCAGGGCCGACGAGATGGGTAGCCAGGACTAATTCCCAGGGCCGGGCTCAAGTGGGGGCCCGGCAGCTTTAGGTGAGGACGTTTTTTTACAAGAGGAAGGACTTTTAGAGATTTCACTAAAAATGAGATGTTTTTGCTCGCGGGCCTTTTTTTTATAAATGTGATATTGAAAGGGCTTAATTTTTTTTATAAAATTGTCGCGGGGCCCTACCTGGAAAATGGTCCCGGGGCCTGACCTGGCTCTCGGCGGCAGTACTAATAATTGTTCATAAATGACTGACACGAAACAACATTAAATAGTCCTATTTTTTAGTAGCATATCGCGTTGGCGCACTGATAGAAATCTGAATTCTAGCTGTGCACAAATTAAAACTACGGAGAATGTTGTTTTTTTTTATTAAAAAATAACGAAATTAACATTTTTTTAACACAATAAAGTTTATACAAGGATGAGGAATAATTATTTCAATTAGTTTAAAAAATCAATTATACCAACTTCATTTTAATCACCAGAATTTATATTTTGTATTCTTTATTCAATAAGGGCGTACCCAGGATATGAACAGGGGGGGGGGGCAGGCCAATAAAAAAAGCACAACAGTTTTTCTTTCTTTTTTATAAGTTATTAATAAACATTTCATTGCAGTAACAGTCTTCTTGGATTTGTAGCAAAATGGTTTAAAACGTTTTTTTTTTCGAATTGCTCCCGATTTTCTTTAATTAAATCTTGATGCACACTCATCAAACATAATCCCGTCCACCTTTCCTCTCCCATAGTACTTCTCAGCCAGGTCTTTACTTTTCGAAGTGTGCTAAACGATCGTTCTACAGTGGCCGTAGTACATGGGATTGTGATTAAAATCAAGAGTGCCTATCTTATGATGGGGTAAAAAACGTTGGCTTCGCTGAGAAGGTCTATGATTTCAATATCCTTTATCTTGTTCTCAGTTATCTTTTTATTTTTCCACAAGTTATACCATAGTTTGTTTTCTGCGGTCATGTCTTCTAATTGATAAAACTGTGTAAAGTAACGAGTGTTTTCTTTTACATGACTGATATCCATGTTGAGCATGTACAGAGTATGTAGTTTTGTTAGGGCAAAAGCTGGGGTATGTTCTTATGAAAATCGACTATTTAACGATGATAAAATATTGAATTTAAATATGGTATAATTAACGAACGTTTCCAGTAGTCACTATCAGAGTCTGATGGATAATTGCTTCTGTGTATTTGTCTGTTGGCAAGTCGAGGGACGGAAATTTCAATTTCCAATTCCCTGGCAAGGTCTTCTACTTTTCTAATAATTTCAACAGTAACTAGGTCGGCGTCTTCACGATTGTTTAGTACTTTAACGATTACGTTAATATGTTCTTGCAACTGGATCAAATCGATACTTTTTGCTTGCAGAGCATTAACTACCGGTTCTAGTAAAGCTGAGTATTTTGCTATTATAGTTAGAGCAACAATTAATGAGGATTTGGTAACGGCTGAGTGCAACTGGTATGCAGATTTTCTTGTGGCGTAGTTTGTGCAAATAATCGAATACTTTTGTATTTTTCAGACCATCTTGTCTCACATAGTCGTGAAAGTTTAGGTGCAGAATTCCTCCGAGTGGTGGATTCCCTAAAAAAGTTTATAATATCCTTCACCGTGCCAATAGTGTTTCTAATTTCCGCGACATTATTTGTGTCATTGACAACAAGATTTATCTTGTGGCTTGAGCAATGAAAAAATAATGCTCACGTGTACTTTTTTCTTAAAATTGCTTGCACGTTACCCTCTTTGCTCGCCATTGTAGCGCAGCCGTCAAAACCAAGTCCTACACAATTTTGTGGTAAAAAATTATAGCTGACCAAAAAATTATCGATTGCTTTGGCAATTGTTGAGGCATCTTGTGCTGTCAGCTCTAAAAACCCGCAAATTCTTCTGGAACTTTTTCTTTAATTTCATCATAGAAGCGCAAGCCAATTGAGAGCTGTTCCTTTCCCGATATGGCGGCTGTTTCTTCGGCTAAGATTGTGTATATAGCAGAATTTATCACATCCCCTCTAATAACTTCGCCACATTACACCCCACAAAAACTATCGCATCACTAAAATGTTTGCAATGTATGTTTATAAAAACAGACAGTGCTAAAAAACTGTATTTCTCCTCTAATAACAGAGAGAATAAAACAATCAAAAAAATAAAAATTTTCGAAAAATGAGGCTAAAGTAGGCTATTAATAATTATAACATGCTATTATTGCTGGTACACTCCACAGGGTGTTACGAATTTTCCAACCAAAAACCTATATTATTGTAACATCCGGTATACACTCTAAAATTAAATTTTATTTAAAGAATCAAAGATATTGTCTTCCAAAAAAAGAATATCCAAATCAATCAAACGGTTCAAAAAAACTCCAAATTTTTGAAAACTATTAGTGGTGCGATAATTTTTGTGGAGTGTATATTTATCAATTGGTTCTATATATTTGGTGAGGTATAAACTGCATTTCTATGACATTTCTCTAGATGACTCTTTAATTTTATGTCGCCAGATTCAATTCGTAAATTCATCAGATCGAAAAAAACTCCCTTATCTGCTTCTTTTTCTCTAACAGCTAAATCATGGGTCCCACAGAATAATATACATGAAATAATTGATGCCAGTATTTGTTTGTTCTCTTCAATTATTTTTTGGTGAAAACTTTGTAGCTGAACTTCCACAGGCAAATTTTCGAGAAAGAGTTTTGGGATAGCTGATGAAGTTTTGTGAAAGTTAGTGGTGACATGTTTACGGCAATCTTCGTGCATATTCTTAAACGTGAATCGTCTGATCATAAATGAACCTAACACACACCTTACGGTTTCAGTGGAAGGGGGAAATAAAACACAGTGCTTGCAGAGAGCATCCTTTAGCCGCTTAGAATAAACTAGCCATGGTGTATATTGATCTAAACAGGCTTGGTTAAATTTTTTTCGCAAATGACTTGCATCGGTTATAAAATCATAGTCCTTGCTCGGAACCACGGATTTTGTAATAGATACTTATTTTTTCTATCGTCAGGTGAAATATTTGCCTTACATAACGACCCAGGTCATTTTCGTGGCAGCCATCATTCTCATTAATTGCGAGAATGTCTACAGAGGCAAAGATTCAAGACCGGGAACAGATATGTCCGTAGAAATTAAAGATGCTGACGGCTGTTTAGGCCTTATTTTAGATGAGCTTGGCGATATAATTTCATCATTGTTTTCATCGCTCTCGATGCTACTGCCACGTTCTTTTTTCCTCTAAAAAGTTGTAGTCCCTGGAAAACATCAAAAGAATCTTTATTTGTATTTTTATACAGTGTGATTTCAAGAAGCTAAACTTATATTTTCGGTGTTAAGTACTACACAAATAAACTTTTTACAGCCCAATTTACAAAATATATATTTTTTGTTTCTCACATTTTCTGCAACACCCTGTATAAACTGTATGAACAAATGTGTGTTGTTCAAGTACTAATTAACTAAGGACTACAACATAACTACGAAGTTGTTTTTTCTGGACGGTGGCAAAAAAATAAGAGTGGTGGCAAAATATAAAAAATTGACTCCATCCTGTATCTACAAATAAAATCGAGATACTTAATAATTACATTAATTTTCGTGGCCTAGGTCACACAGTAAGCGAAGTTTGATCTACCCAACAAACTAGTTTTTATGTATCTACCCGATAAAAATGCTTTATTTTTATTTTCGCGAAGATAATAATGATAATGATTATTTCAGCACCATGCTTATAACAGCTTACACGTACCTACTAATCTATTCCTACACAACAAAAGTATAGAAAATTAAGTCAGAATGAGGAATGTAACTTACCTGTTTGAAAAAATTTCTTGATATCCATTTAATATTGTTAAGAAAGCACGTAATAGTTATATTTTGATAAGTGTGCACTATCACTTGATACAATACAGAATATCTCTTTTGCTGCCTTTTATACGCTGGTACTGCTGGTAGTGCCTAAACACGTGTGGTTGCAATGTTTTGGCGTAGTCGGTTCTTGTCCAAACTAGAAACGGTAGGTGCGTGTCTATACAGGCCGCAATAAGAAATTCTGGTCATTCTGGATAGACCGCGTGATTTACATATTTTTTTCGATTTTGTTTTGGTGTAGTCTGTAAATTTGTAATATCTACAGTAGTGGTTTATTATTTTTTATATTTTCCACACTTTTGATGTATGTTTTATTATAAAATTTCAAGGTCTGCCCCTAGCTAGGTACGTCCTTGTATTCAGACTTAATATTCTTTTTCGTTTTCATCTTCTTCTTTAACTTCCTCCTGCACTTCTAGTTTTTCTAAATTTGCATCAGTTGATTCAGTTGAAGCCTTATATTCTAAGGTTGAAGCTGGTTCCAACGCTTTTGAACTTTACTATTTATTTGTTTCCATATAAATGAGCAATATTTAGTCTAGATTTAGAAGATATCAAGGGATCTAAAGTACACACTAAAGTGTTTACTAAGCCCGTCAGTC